AATCGCCGTTCACCGTTCTCCCCGACAACGTTTTTTGAAATAGCTGTACATAACAGTTTTAAATGTACAGCAAAAAAGCGAATCACAATAAGAATCATTACGACACATTAGCAAACATAACATTTGTGCATGGACTACACTTCCCATCATGCTTTGAGATGGAAAATACCGTCGCATTGCCTATTGGGTAATAGCTATTGTCATAGCTGTGTAGTTCACTTACCTTGACATGAATGCAATAAAGTAGGAAGCTAATGTTTTGGTAAAGTATTCTTGCTGTGCTGCATGACATAAAGCAGCCAGAGGACCACTCAGGTCTTTAATAGGCTGTACTTTATCTTCACTCTGTCATAAATGGAAGAATCTTTAGAGTTCAGGAAAGAGCAAAATAAGTTGCAAAAATACTATGCAGGATATGGAAGACAAATCGTTTGACTTTCACATGACTCGGATAAGGATGTACACTCGGAAGTCTAGTAAATTTTAATCTAATTTTGTTGTGAGCATCAAAGAACCACTGAGGATGCAGTTGGCTACCTCTGCTTCGTTACACACAGAATATCGAAACGTAAAGTTGGTTTAACAGTCTTTCTAAAGACTTGTCATCGACAATGATACAACATCTTCATCGTTATTACAGTTGTTAGTAATGAACATTACAAAAATACAGACCTTCAAGAAGCCCAAATAAACCAGGATAGAGTTAGCAAGTCCTGCTTCTTGAATGTTTGCTCTTAACGCTGATCCTAAGATGGCATCTTTTGAGAAAAATAAACGGAAATTGAATTGAAGAAAAGTTAATAAACCATTACATGGCGGTCGTGATATAGCTGTTTTCGTGTGGACTGGTTGATTAAACGCCAAATGAAAAACCGTTTCCAATAGACCCTCTCAGTCTCATTAACAATTCGTCCGCCATCTTGAATATTATGGAGAAACTACGGGATGCAAGCAGGCAAAATCACATCAACATTTATTACAAACATTTGTGTCCATAAATCAATTCCTTAGTCCCCTCTAGAATCCGTTATGAGGTTGATTGAGCAATATAACGGCTGCGAGAGGAGTTTACTACTCATACGAAATTGACTCTATTATCATCCCATAGGTGAGTCTTAGACTGAATCGATACTGAAAAGAATATAATTCAAGATGGCGGCCGTATTGATAATACGGCCAACCTGACATGGTTGGTTGAGGGAAGGTAACCTTAGCTACTATAAGAAGGGTTATCATCATCAATGCAAATTTCGATATAAATGTACTTTCCTGACCTGCACATGTACTGATTGCTTCTTTATCATTGTTGACCCCTGAACAAACCTATGAACAACAAGTTGGTTTGAGGTAAATCCAGGAACACCCTCTCCAACTACACCTGTGTGTTTTTAGTGTTGTCGTTTCTCAAGGCAATTGAGAATACAAATACACAATAGAGAGTGACAAGGACTCAGTTTAGATACTAAACATCTAAAAATTGAKCGGAAACCCATCACACGTCGATTTGAATTTCAAAAACTAAAAGGAATAAAAACTTTCATAGAATTACTTCAAATATCATAGTTAATACACTTAACGTAAATAATGATATTGGKCGGACTGTACTCGATAAAGGACAGAACAGAACTCGATAAGAATTAGAATAGGGAGCATGCAGCTACGCCATTTTGTGCAGCAAAGCATGATGGTAGTTGTAGTCCTCACACTTTTTTATGTCCGCTAAAACAGTCTTCCTAACCAGTTTTTCTAAGCGAAAATAGAAGTATTTGGTCCGTTTCTAAAAAGAAAATGAAAAAACGGCTTTCAAGGAGATATTTTAGGGTCTATGAAAAGTGCGAGGACTACAACTACCATCATGCTTTGCTACACAAAATGACGTCGTTGCACATTGCCTATTGAGCTCATTACTGCGCGCATTGCATGCCGGTTTATGAAGATAACAATAGATACCTTGACGAAGTGACTTGCAATTTTATCCGGCTCAGAAAGATCATCCTAAAAGAAGAAATATAAGATTTGATTTTACAGAACAGTTATTGTAATAAGTATCCCAACAATTTAACAATATTTGACTAGAAATTGTTTGATTGAGAATTCTCCTCGTCGAATTG